TGATTCAAGATATCAAATACCCACTGTAAAACACGGTGAAAAAGTAGCATTAGGCTATGGGGTGCATTTTCTTGGAAAGGCGTTGGCCCAATCTTTAAAATTGAAGACACAATGGACTCTATTAAATATAGAGATATCATATTAGATATGTAATTCTGCCTTATGCACGTCAAAACGTGCCACGAGGATGGATATTTCAGCAGGATAATGAGACAAAACATCAATTAAAGCTCCTTCAACAGTTTTGTCCCAGAAAAAAGTCCGAGTTTTAGAGTAGCCAAGTCAATCTCCGGACTTAAATCCCATAGAGTATTAATGGCAAGAGTTAAAACTAAATTTAGGGTCTAAAACATGTGCGAATAAAGCTGATAATTTGTGGGAAAAAGTTTAAGAAGAGTGGAAAAATATCTGTCAAGATAAAATCGTTAAACTGATTGAAACGATGCCTCTCACCGATGTGCTCCTGTGATAGCTACAAAGGATATTGCTACCAAATATTGATGAAAATTTAATATTTATTTCTTATATTTATTTTTTATTACTATTTCTGATTATTTTTTCTTCAGTTTTTTGTATACATAGTGCGAAATTTGTGCTTTGCCAGATATTTATGAAAAAACCAAAAATTATTATTCTTGTTATAAATAATTATAAATTGTTATATATAATTTTCTAATTACAWGRTTTTATAACAAAATAAAAATACTTTACGATGATATATTTGTATTTGCATTTTGCACCCTTTATATGTTACATAATCAAAAAATTATGTTTGGCCGGATAATTTTGTTTGCAATTGTATATACTTACATATATATATATACTTATCTTAAAATAACTTTTCTTAATTTATAAGATTATTTAAATCCTTATAAGGAGAAATCAGAATATCAAACAATACCTTTAGAAAAAATCGAAGATTTTGGTGTACATTGTAATCAATATTATTCTTTAGAAATATCATATTTTTTATCATCATTAGATAGAAAATTGTTAGATTCTTTATAGAATAAATATTGGGTGAGCGTTCTTAGTTCTTCCAGTCTATTAACAAATACAGATTATACTACAGGACAAATATTGGATTTATCTAATAAATTAGAAGAAGCTGAAGTGACAATAAAAAGAACGGGTAGAGGTAATAATTCAGCAACAAATCTTACACAAGCAGCACGTGATAGCTCTATAACTACAATTGAAATTATACATGGTTTAATGACACAAATAATTAAAGAAAGATTATTTAATCAAGTTGGAGCGAATAAGATAGATTATGATTAAATTACTTATTCACATTCATCATAAGTTAATTTTAAGTGAAAAGAGAGAGCCAAATATAAATGCATTTGCAATACAAGCAATGTAATTTTTCATGTTTTGTTAAGATATAAATGTATATGCTTACAAGACTGAATACTTAAAAAAAACCTGGTGTATCAAAAATTTCTAATTTTTTTACATTTTTTATCTGTTCGAAAGTATTTACATAGTGTAAAGTTTTAACT